TTTTTTTATCACTTATCTACATTTTAATTTCACTTCAATATATTCCCTAGAACTCACCGTTTTGGGCGAACTCCGCCAAGAGGGTCTCCTCATGGAGCACAATAAACCACGCATGGTTTTTCTTTTCGACACAATGCTGATCATTACCAAGTCCAAAGAGGACAATCGTCTGCAATTCAAAAGTTACATACACGTAAGTTGCAGCCATAAAGTGTACACAAGAAAACACATGTCATGGCCACACCAGTTTCCATTTCGATGACAGCATATTTCGTGCGCCATTTTTTATTTTTACTACAAATTTCTATATTTATTTTGTACTCATTCATTTCCTTTCATCTTTTTTGCTTTCGTTTTTTCTCACACAGCAAAATAATCTAATGCTAAGCGAACATTTACCCGGCGAACCGACGAGCTTTTATGTAATACCCTACCATGAGCCGCGTAATCAAATCAAATTGACAGCCAAAAATCGTGACCAGAAACGTCTCTGGGCGCAACACATTAAAGGAGTCATACTCGAAAAATTCGACAACATACCAAATCGCGCTAAGGAGTTGGTCTACAAGTTGGGCGATGAGGAAGGTATGAAAACGCACACACAAACATACACACAAAAACACATACACATATGTATTCATTACACTTACATTACTTATGAGCTGCAGGCAGTTGGGCGGCAGTGCTACGTACATATGTATATGAATACATAACGGGAAGCAGTTGCCACCGTTAGCACTCGAAACTGCTGAAATTATTTATTTTTGGCGGCAACAATAACACTGCCTTGGTAGTTTGTCATCTTTAGTTCGCGTGCATTTCGCTTTTCTCAATATTTTTTTGTATCTAATTTTTGTTTGTAATTTTTTTTTTTTTTTTTGTTTGATTTTTTTTTAATTTTTTGTTGAAATTTTTAAAATTTTTTTTTTTTTTTCTGTTACAATTGATTTTTATTATTTTTTTTTTTTTGAAAATTTTTCACATATGTTAACATACATACATATACTTCTTTCAGGCATACAAATTCGTGCATATTCCATTTTGCTTACATAAGTAGGTTCCTATGGAATTCAACTTGCTTCATTCCCAATTTTTTCGTTTTGTTTTTTCTTTTTTGTCATGTAGTCTGCCTATGCTCCTTCTCTCAATTTCCTTTCGGCGTAAAGCTTTTTTCATTTTATCTTTTATTTTTGCTGTTCATTTAAATTGAAAGTTTTCCCTTTCATTGTAACTTGTCGCGGCGTCAATGTGGCGCTTCTGTGCCAAACCATACTTATGTCGCAATATAAAAGGTGAGGTGACAGTTATACAGCAAAAAAGGAAGAAACTACGATATATGTGTCGAGAAAGCAATTTATTTGAAGCATGTTAGTGTGCAATTGTTTTAACCAAAGTTTTGTTTTTTTTATTATTTTTTCTAATTTCTTTTTATGCTATTTTCTGGTTTATTTTAATTTTTGTTTTTGTACCACGAAGTATGCGGGAATATGTGAATAGGGAAATATTTGCGCTTAGGGAAATTCACAGATAATTGGCACATTTTGACTTGCCACATAAATGATTTATAGTCTTCGAAGTTGAGCGTGCGCAGTGTAGCCCTTTTTTCGGTTAGCTATATTTCTTATATCTGTCAACGCCGAAAATGAATGCGCAAATTTTATACACATGAAAATTATTTGTGCAAAATTGACATGCAACATATAATGCAAGCAATTAATTATTTGAAACAAGTCAGGGGATAGTTCCTGGAATCAGATTTGAGCTGTCAGTGTGAAGTCGACATATTTTTGAAACTTATCTGCGGTAAAATTGAAGAGTAAATATTTTCAGGACCTTTATTTCTAGTTGGAGGCACAATTTTCGGGAATTAATGTTTTTTTATAATCTTTAATTAATTGATTTTCTTATAAAAGTTCTCGAGCGGTTTATATTAAACATTTTATACTTTTAATGCAAACCTTATTTTTAAATATATTATGAGTAAGTATGAATTTTTATTTTAGTTATTAGGTAATTTGGGCTAAGGTATGTGATTGCCTTTCACATATATTTAACTAAATTCCGTTTTCCTTTCATTGTCTTATGCGCTTAAAGTCAGTAATGAAATATTTTAATATTTTTTTGGACTGTGCTTATTAATATAGTTTCATCTCTAATTTTTGGTTAGCTAAATTTTTAATAATGCTTAAAACTTTAGAAATTTGTCATAATTTTATATTATTTGATATATGCACTTTTGTTCTACTAAAAATCTCAATTATATATCAAAATCAATATAGCTTTCAAATCTCATTAATAGTCTCCACAGCAGTATAAAATCGGCTACCCAGCAACAAGTGACTTCTAATATTGTCATAATTCATAAGGCACCCAAGTTTGAGGGGGTTACAATAATTAATGTGTGAAACTTTATATCTTTTTTTAACTTTGTTAAAAAAATTGTAATGCGCTAATTTTGGTCTTGATTTGAACTAAATTCACCATATTGCAGCTAATAAATAGCATATCCGCAATTATTCAGTTGAAATTTTGTCTATCTTGCTGGCATACTTGTTATCAACTTCCTACAGATTTCAGTCAGAATGGAATATTGTACTAAGTTTCTTAAATTTTTCTCACTAGTTGTTTTTTTTTTTTTGTCTTACCCAGCTACAATATTTTTTGAGTTGTGTATGTTCGCTTTTTTCGCGTATAAATCCCCATATTGTAATAGTGTTTTCGAACGTTGTTGTTTGGAAGTTCTTCAAAAATAGCATATTATTATTGGGTTTTCTCAAAAGTATGGCTTTTAATAATTTCATTACCAAATTTATAAGATCGTGCCATTGAAAGTAGTCCTACACCATTAAATTACTTTGCTTAACATTTTTTTGTGAATTTTGTCTGAAGCTTATTACCATTAAGCCGACAAACATGTCTGTG